GATCCTCCTGTCCTAAGAGATAATGGTGGCCTGGTGTTCAGTTCCTTGCCTAGAGAAGCATTTTGTCAGTTGTTATGAGATCAGATGCATGAAATCCCAGGTGTGTGTCTCAGGGAAACTCTGAGGTTTTTTCATTTCCATGTTTTCCTCTGTGGGACAGGATGCAGCTGCCTTCTGTGGGATCTAAGGAGGTATTAACTATATCTAGCAACTTCCCTGCTAGATATAAGCTGCTGCCTTTATGTGATTTACAGTTTCCCCTGAAAACAAAAATTAATAAATCTCATTCACATAAAATCTGTAACTGCAATTCAAATTTTCTGGAAATATGATTGCCCAAGGCATGAGACTACCAATAGAGATGGTGATTGTTGACGGAGAAAAAAGGCTTTAGAGAAAGGGTCAATCTGGTTCTGAATAATAGAAATAGAAACAGTCATGACCTCGGCTGTGATGCAGCATCTTCCACAACTTGGTCAATATGTAGGGGAGGCTTGTGCTTATAGGAAGTCTCTTCTCTCAGGTAGGTCTTAAAGTATGGAGTCTCTTTCTTCTCCTGAAGCTCCAAATACTGCCCTCTGTGGAGTTTCCCTATGAAATCATGAGTCATTTTAATGGAAGTTTAAAATTGATATTGTGTTTTCTCCAGCATCCCTGTGACTTTGTTTCTTTTTCTCTCTTTCTTTCCTTTCTTTCTTCCTTTTATTCTTCCTTCCTTCTTTCTTCCTTTTTTTCTTTAATTCTTTCTTTTGTTCTTTGAAGTACTGTGGATTGAATCTAAGGTATCCTGCATGTTAAGCAATTGCCCTATCATATCTAATCTCCCCCAGACTAGTTTTAATCTTGTTCATTGAGTTAAATTTGCCCTCCTTTGCTCAGACCTTCTTTTTCTTAGATATTCATAACCCTCTTGGTTCTCTTTTTATTTCTGTTATTTCTTTGAAATAGTTTTCCTTCTTTATAAAAATTTCAAGTTCCTTCTGAGATGAAAAAGACAAAAGTTGTGCTTTTTATATTATGCTAAATATTCTGTAGGCTTTCTTTATTCCTATTCACCTTCCTCCACTATCTGCTTCTAAATAGTTAATCCTGGAGGTTGCAAATGCTTTCTTTGCTTTGATCTATCCATACTGATATCTTGCTGAGTGAAACTTTGTGGAGTATATTTTCCTCCTTAATAATTCCTTTTAGTTAGTTATACGACTTCCATTTTGTTGTGAAAATTCTCTTTTAGCATATTGAAATGCTTGTTTATTTTCATTTATTTAACTTAGTTTCCATGAATCCACTTTTTAATATTATCTGTACATCAATTCTCCATATTGATTACTGTCTAGTCATTTTTTGGAACTGACCCCACAGAAGTCTGTCTGGCTCTGAGAACAGTCACAGAAGTGCAGGCCCAGCTTCCTGTTACACATTTGGCTAAGATGTTGGTGATGCTAGGTGATATAGATGACTGACTGGACTGTGTATCTTCCCTTAGCAACTGGAGCTGCTCCAGAGGCCTCCAACCAGCAGGCCTGGACACAGAGGCCATTAGAATCCACCCACAGTTAATCCCACCACTCCAGAACCATGTTCCAGAAACAAGTCATGTAATTTAAACCAAGTACTAATATGTAGTGGGATGTTAAGACTTGCTATGCTGCCATAGGATGGGGAGATGCTGGTGAAGGAAGACATTCAGCTATCTTGTTGGATGCTATGCTGAATCATGCCTGGTCTTGCACAGTCTTGGGAGATCACTGAGGGTCTAGGTGTAGTTAAGTATTCTGAGAACTGAAGAAGAGTTTCTGGCTCATTGGGGCACAGGTCTCTGCTGTTGTTGGGTGTATGTAACATGTGCTGCTGTGCTCCCTGAGGCAGTGGAACAGTTGATAGGACAGTTTCTAGACAGATCTAAGTTGGTTGCACCTCAAGTCAGGGCCACAGGGCATGCGCAATCCTGGGAAGTTCTACATAGCCCCTCCAAGGTTGGAACTCAGAGACCCATGACTCAGCTAGGTCACAAGTACCCATGTCACTGGATGATGCCAGGGACTCTACTTGATCTTAGCCAAAAGGCCAAGAAGAAAGTCAATAGATCATTTAGAAATTTTCAGTCAGTATTGGCCTGCAGTGATTCGCTGAATTTTCTAACACATGCTTGGTTTCTGTAACAAGGCTAGCACTAATGTCTGAGGTTCAACCCTGAACTGCTGCTGTACCCTTCTCCAAGGTCATGGTCCTTCTGCCTGCTGTGCTGCACAAGGCTCAGGAAGGTGCTAGACTCAGACTCATTGCTGCCTGGCCTTCAGCCGTCCCTGAGGATGGGTCACAGGTGCTAGCCTGGAAATCGTGACCATGAGAATTTACCACACTGTTTTTTACCATGGATGACCTGATACTGCTCTTGAATTCTAAGTTCTGGTTTGGTTCTCTCTCCCTCACCCAAGCAGGATGGCTCTTCCCATGCACTGGTTATTTGTGGAAGAATGACATGTTTGAAGCACTTCCCTCATTTTTTTTGTTAAGGGGTCTTTCTCTTCTGTTACACTAAATTAGGGAATGTGATCTGACACTTGGTGGCCTTAGCACTTATGCAGTAGGGTTTTTGTGTGAACAGCTTTTAGTCTTAGTGAGTTTTGGGCAGCTTTCCAGAGGTTTTTCTCAGGCAGGATATTGTTCTTCCTTTCTCAAGGAAATTTTTGATATTCTTGTTGCTATTGTGGTTTAACATTAGGGCCTCATACTTGCTAGGCTGTGATTATAGAGATGAACCACTTGTCCTGGCCCTTAAAGGTAGATTTCAAAGGCAGGTAGACTAATAAATTCCCATTCTCTGCCTAGTTCTTCAGGGGTCAGTGGTTTACCCTCCTTCCATCCCTCTTCCTTCTCCCTCCTGCTACATTCAGACTTCTGCTGTGAACTAGTGCTCCCTGTAAGGATCCCCTGTCCACACCTTAGGACACTGAATTCCTGCACAGGCAAGGTCATTCCAGCACATTGCATAGAATGATCTTCATCACTGCGTTTTAAAGTGTCTCCTTCTTCACATATTGGAAATATGGCATTCACAGGGACAATGAAAACCAGGAAAGAGGTGTATGGAAACACCAAGATAAGTATGAGATTTCATTTAGGAAATACTAGTGTGGGCATAACATAAAATTCTTAGTAAACTTCTACAATACCACAGCAAAATATTTTGAAATTCATATTCCAATTGTACAGTAATGTTTAGAAGATTGTTACTACTAGGAATGACCTCTTCTCTCTTTGTACATACATATTTGAGAACACTACAATGAAAGTACAAATCACCCATAGGTGTTTAAGTGCGTGGTGACACCTCCATGAGATGCCACAGTGGAAAGTGGGCAGCAGGTTGGGTGACAGGTGAGAACTCCACTTGAAGAGCTCCAGGACCGCAGGAAGGTGACAATCGAGACAAAGCAGGCAGGATCTCAGGTGTCACCACTTAACTCAAGAGAAAGAGTTGGACAAAAGACATGCAGAGGAGGTTTAGATTGAACATTGCTTTTAAACTGTAGCCCCTGTCTAGAATTTCCTATTTGGCAGTGAAAATTACTTCTGTACACAATCTTCTCCCTTTTCAGGAGAACAAGCACATGCTCTCTGTAGCATATTTCCCTAAAGCCACTTTCCCAAAATGTGTCATTTCCAATTAGCCACTCACTCACACTGTGAACACAAACCTGGCCAATCCCAGCCGGGGGTAGCATTGCATTAGATATAAAACGTGAGTGGACTTCTCAACCAGTGTGCTTGCTTCTTAGACTCTGTCAGGTGCATACCATTCTGCCAAAGAAAAGTTAGCCTTGCATATTGAATTATAAGTTGTGTCATCCCTCTCGTGACACCACCGGGTTCTGAGAATTTCTAATATTCATATATATTATCAGTGTTTACCAATATAATTAATTGTAAAACCTACCAATTTTAATAAGGTTTTTGAAGGTGGATGCAAAGAGCTAAGGAAAAGTATTATTATTTTTAGTTGGAGGACAAACAGAACATAAAAGTTAAAGAAAGATGATACTATTTATTCTTGTAGAATTACATATTATTATTGAGACTCAATCTCAAATAATAAGCTGCACATGGTTGCATGCACCAGTGGTCTCAGCTCCATCGTTGGCACACATAGGAGTGTGCAAGATGCACCCCAACAAAACATGAGACTGTGTCTGAAACAATTATCTATTGTAAAAATATTTTGGTGGTGTGACTGAAGTGATAAAGCAAATGCATAGGAAGTACTTGACTTAGTTCATACACCACTATAACAAAAAGATAACAATAGAAGTAGTTCTGATATTCTGAATCAGGAGAGAGCTCAGAATCACTGTGCATTGCGCTGTGTGATAGGAGAAGCAGGGTAGGAAGCAGAGTCAGTAATAAAGTTCATGTGTGAGACTGCACCTGATATTAGACCTGAGGTGGTGTTTGCTATGAACTGCATAACCCCTGCTGGTCCTGAGTGTATCCAGCATGGAGGTTTGTGTCTGTGCTCACACTGAAGTCTCCTCACGGTGCCTATTGCACAGTAATACACAGCTGTGTCCTCTGTGGTCACAGAGCTCAGCTGCAGGGAGAACTGGTTCTTGGACGTGTCTCTGGTGATGGAGACGTCCCTTTTGAGGGATGTGCTGTAGTAATTGCTTCCACCATAACTTATGTACGCCATCCACTTCAGGCTCTTCCCTAGAGGCTGGCAGATACAGCTCCAGTAGTAATCACTGGTAATGGAGTAACCAGAGACAGCACAGGTGAGGGACAGGGTCTGTGAGGGCTTCACCAGGCCAGATCCTGACTCCTGCAGCTGCACCTGGGACAGGACACCTGGGGGAAGAAGAATCACTACAGTCTTTCACATTCAGTTAACCTCCCCTTGGATCCATGTGTGAATTTGGGGACACTCACCTTGGGGAGCTGTCAACAGACACAGGAGAAGACCAAACAGTCTCATCTTCCAGACCACAGCCCTGCCTTCCCCAGAGACCTCAGTCCTGTGTGAGGAGAGAGCTGTGAGCTTCCTTTGCCATAGAGGGCAATTTAACTTAGAGATTGAATAATAATTTGCATGTGGAAGTCCTTATTTTATCTATGGTGGAAGGTCTGAGGTCAGGTGATCCTTGTACTTCTGTGCCCTGTGAGGTATGCATGCTGTAAAACTCTACAGGTGTTTACATTTGTTATAAGACAGATAGTTTTAGAGAGATGATGGAAGATTTTCCAAGGAATGTCTCACCTTTGAGGAGAAATATACCATCCTCCATGCCACTTTTCCATCCTTTTCCCCACACTTATGTATACTCAAAGTCAGAAGTGTGCTAGTTCTTCCTTTTCCTGTTCCTCTAGTGTGCTTTTGTTCACAGATACTCTGGAATCCTATTACATTGTCACACTGCTGCCCTTATATGAGTTCATGGCCTTCTATACTATTACTCATCTGTTATATGGAAGACACAGCAGTCATAAATGTAGAGACTGGAGAGAATGCTGTTTGTAGGTAAGATGTGGAGAAAGAAACTTAAAATTCCAGTACATGGGAGACAATGGCAGCAGGACAGCAGTTCATGTCTACCCTGGCCATTGGTAGGAAGAATGGAGGTCACAATTAAAGTAAAGCAAATTCCTTAGGGACATCATTCAAGTAAAAGAGCACTTGAAGTTCTCGACCTTGGGTTCAATCCCCAGCACTGCAAACAATGCTCTCTGTGCCTTGTTTTATTCACATTGTAGATCTTGAACTTTGCAGAAGAGACAAAGGCAATCTACTATCAATGCCCCATTCCACAGAAGAGAATTCTGCACCTACTATGTGGCCATTTACATTAACATTCAGCTTCCTCTTCCTGTTTTCTATTACCCATAGTATTATTCATTTTTGTATTTTAAGTAATTATTTATGTTTATTTGTTTATTGTGTGTTGAGTGTACAGAAACATCCATTTTGATTCCCTCAAGTTTTACAGAAGTTACAATGTGATGAAGAGTGACTTTCAATTCAGGATGCCTGGGGCAGTTATCATGCTACTACTTATGGTGAGATTATTCTTCTATGAAACTAAGATTACTCTGATTCTAAACTACTCATGTTCTCACCGTGATAATTCAGTTTACAGTTAACCCATTCCTGGGGCCTTGGAAATTGGAGGATCATTTTCAAGACATTTCACTCTGAAAGTGGAAGGAATGTCTGTATTTCAACAATAAAAAAATTTTATACTCTGAATGTCAGGAAGCAGTTTGCCAGGTGTGGGGATAAAATTCGTTCACTGAAACCAGCCCTTTACTGACTTCTTGGTAGAGACCTGTTGTGAGTGGTTCCTGAGGGTCCCCTGCTGGTCCCTGGTGGTCCTCTCCTCCTGGTCCTGATGCCTTTCACTGGTTCTGAGTGTTCTCTGGTGGTGCTGAGAACACTCTGCTCTCCCTAGATATTCTTGTGTATCCTGGACAGCCCTGGTGCACCTGCACTCACCCTGCTGGTTATGAGCAACTCTGCAGGAGAAAGGTGTCTGAGTTCACACTAAATGCAGATAACAGTTCCTTGGGCATTTAATACGCACTACTGTCCTCAACTGTCACACTGCTTAGGTGATCCAACACTTTGTACTTTTCTGTTTCCCTACATATGATCATTCTGGAATGAGATTGGGGCTGTAGTTACTATTCCTCTTAGCTCAGATCATACTAATCTATTCAAGGCCCCAGGACATAAAATATTCAGATAGTGAGAGTGTGTATGTGGCACAGTTGAGGCTGAGCTCTGGACTGACACAAGCCATGGAAATGTAGTAATGATTACTAATACACTCAGCACTGCAACCACAACAAGCTTAGAGGACTTAATGAGCAGTAATGGTGTAAGGTGAGGTTACATGGCAGTAGTTAATGAGGGTAGAGTTGGAGTATGGATAGAGGAGAAGCAACAGTAGCGAATGGTCCAGGAAATACAGAATAATAAGGTGGCAGGAGAAATGGGAAAGGCAAAGGAAGAGGAACAAGGAAAAGAAGGGAATGAAGAAGAAACAGGTAACAGTAAATTGAGCAACAGAAAACAGGAATTATTATAATAAAGTCTTGAGAACAGAGAAGATACAACCCAAATCTATGGCAATGAAGAATTAATGTAGAAAACTGAAAATCTAACAGAGGTAAATTGATCTCACTGAATCAAGTCAATGTGGAAGAAGAGACAACAGAAAATTATACATGGAAAACTGGGTGTGGTGTCTCCTCTCTGTAGTCCCAGCACTGGGTTTCTGAGGCAGAGAGACGACAGCCCCAGGACTGGGGAGAGACTCTCTCAAAAACAAAACAACCCAATGAAAGAGAAAAAAAAGAATTAATATAAGAAAGGAAGGAAGAGACGTTAAATTGAAAACATCACATCTATGGAGTACAACACCACAAAGGGACTAAAAAGAAATTATTTAAATATAGAGTAAAATGCTAAGATATGTGGATATCTAAATAGATCAATCTTGATTAGAATGACTCTATAGAAGATAGTATAATTGACTTAGAAGAAATCTGGGCAAACAGAAAGTTAAATGTGCATTTAATAAAGAAAATATGGAAAAGCCTTCCATTCATTTGAGGATACCACTATTGAGAGATAATTCCTTGTATTTATGCAATGTAGAATTCCATGTCTCCTGCCTGACTAGAATGCACATTTGCATACACAAAATCAATAGACAAATAGCATTTTTTGCTTAATATTTCAGGAAAGAAAATGGAAAGAAATTCTGTTTGCAATTACTGCAAAACCAAAAAATGTTTATGTACATTTAACAAGTTTTGGTTCTATTATTCATATATTTCATATTTTGGGTCAGTGATAGACTTGGCTTTACTAAATAACTTCTATGACAAAACAAAGCCCGAGGGAGAGGAGCAGCTTGTGTTGTAGAGATCTGAGTGGTTGTAAAAATAAATAAGCCAGTCACTAAAATACAAATACTAAAGGAACCACCTGCATGATGGACCTAGAATAGGTTATTTTAGAGATAGGAAGTGGAGGGTCCTGAAAGGGTGGACAAGGGCATGGCAGGTGTTGATTGGTTGTCACAAGCTTCTATGTTGGGAAAATAGAAGAGGGCAGGCAGGTGTAGAGGGAGGCACAACATTTTCATTTTGGTGCCACCAAACTGCATAAGTGAAAATAGTAAGTTAGGTGAGTTATGTGATGTTTGTTTTCCACAATTCCAAAAACTTACAATTTAGGAATAAAAATTGAAAAAGAAAATACAGGGTATTGTGAGAAATTGGGTTTCTTCTGAAACTAAGGAGGGAAGAAGTTAGCCTTAGAGCTCCATCTAAAGAGATTTGAGCTGTGAAGTGCAGCCTCAGTCCATGGACAGTCATGCACTATGGGGGCCTCAATGCAAGTTGATGGCTTCCAATAAACCATGTCACTCAGAGAAAGGGGTAGCACAGGGCTAGCATTCTAACGAAGTCCACGTGCCACCCTGTATGATTTCCAGATGCAGGAGAAGCCATCAGGTCACTTGGCTATGGAAGAGCAGCTTTCCTGTCCTTCACGAGGATTCAGCTCACAGACACTTGTGACAGTAACACTGGTGCCCAGTGTACCTTGCAAGTGTAGTCAATGAGTCATCCAGGAGATTCCACACAAATGTGAAGCCCAGGTCCTCATGCTGTACATCCAAATGAGGACTGACTCCTCCCTTCATATATAGAAAGCTGCAGCCTTGGCTTCCACTGCAGCAGGCTGTGGGTGGAATACAGTCTGAGAAAGCTCTTCTTGCCTCAGGTTTCTCTGAGAATCCAACACTGCCCACAAATCACCTTGATTGTTTAAATTCTACATTTCAGAACCTTTTCACTGACATTGCAGAGTGTAATTGTGCTGACTGTTGTGGCAGACTGTCTATTGGTGGACACTAACACCATTTGCTTTAACAGGGTTTAAATGATCTCTACGAGTTTTTCTTTGTAGTGGAGCCACGAATATCTGTACTCATAACAACTGCACCTACACTGTTTAAATACACAGACCAGTGTATCTTCCACTTTTTGGCGAGAGATTCATGTTCATTTTGTGGTTGTGTCTTACCTTCAGCCAGGCAGCTTTGTAATCCTCAAGAACATCAACTGTCTGCTTGGTCAGAGCCTCAGTTTTGAGCTACAGAGATAAATGACATACTTTTCAGGTCTTGCCTGGACAAAAACACAGTCCTAATCCTCTCTGCAGAAGTATAGACACTCAATGAGTTGTTAGAATGTACTAGAGCTTCTGTGGGCATCTAATTCTACAGAAATCCCCTTTTCAGCTCCATCTTTTTCTAGTGGCTCTCCTCAGAGTATGAAAAAAAATGGTCCAGGGGGATCACAAGGAACACAATATTTCAGCACACTATGTTTGTTCATAATTTTGTGGTATTTAATAGATCACAGGAGAATTCCAGATGTCAATAACAAAAAAGACAGGTTTTAAAAACCTACCCTTGAAATGGGAGATTGTAATTTTTAAACAAATGGATAGGTACATGTGTGTCACATGAAGTGAATAATAAAGAAAAGGTGCATGGTGTAGTGTGTGAGGATTTCCCTCACAATGACTAATACCTGATAACCAGAAGGTTTATTGACTCCTGGCTTCAGAGAATTCAGTACATGACCGACCGACTTCTGATCTCAGATGCTGTTGTGGGTGACAGATGGAAAGGACAGCAAATTTGTGATGATGAAAACCCCTCACGTTATTGCCCGTGTACAAAACAGAGAAAAGAGGCAGCCAGGGCTTCACAGCCCCTTTAAAAGCGCAATCCAGTGACATCAAACCTCAACTAGACTACCCAACTTACATTCTCACAACCCCATACTGCCAGGTTTGTGACCAATCCTCCCCGACAGGGTCCTTGGGAGAGCATTTAAGACAGAAGTGATGGCATAGTGCAATACTAATATGAAAAATTAAATATAATGATAAATTTC